GAAGAAGAGAAAGAAAAAAAGACGTGATTTTTAGTTAGGCAGCGTAAAATCAATCAAAACCGTGACACGTAGCAGATGATTGGGGAGGTCCTATTTTCTAGAAAGAAAATTAGCGTGTTTGAGCCAAACAACACAGCTCTCCCTAAACATAGATCAAATTAGATAGAGATTCGAGTAAACTTTTGTCCATAATAGAGGATTTCGAGCCTCTCTTGATATTCGTGCGTACAAAGTTTCCAGACAAGTCTTCTATTACGAGCGATTTATTTTCATAATTTTCTATTTGGAACGCTTTTTATAAAAGCAAAACGACCTTGAGAATTTTAGAAGAAGCCTGTATACCTTCAAAAGTTCAGAAATAATGTTGACTTTAGTCTGTTAAGATTTTCGGCTGAAAATGATGAAAATTAGATATACTCCAATGTAAATGTATTTATTTAAGTGTCAATTTTTCCAGAAATTATCTAATTAATTGATATCTTCGATTACATTCGACGCAGCGTTTCTCCAAAAATATCTTGCATCATGGTAGAGTCTTCTGATACAGAAAAGTTGTTTATCGCAGAGAGAAGCCTAATATCGGCTGCGATTGTCCCACAAAAATGTAACAAAGTCCCTAGTCTAGCTTTAAACAAAAATTGTACAGACTATATTCATTATAATAGTTAATTTTTCTGTAACCCAAACATTGTTCTCAAGAACACGAAAGTACCAGATATTTCAACGTAGCAAGAAAATAATCAGGAATAATTTCCAATTTTTTCAAAAGTTTGTACAGGATGATTTTCTTAGACTCCTCGAGTCAAAAATCTTTTTTTTTATTCCAGAAAATATGAGTGAGAGCATAGAGCGAGTTTTGTAAAAACTTCAGTTTAAAACATGGAACTCTCCAAGAGTTATCCCTATCGCAAAATTCAAAACATAGATCGTCATATGTACGAAATCTTCCCTTCTCTAAATCGAGTGGTGCAAATCTTGGATTGACGTCAAAATATTGCCACACACTTCCTACTATTACTTAATCGAGCTCAATTTTTCAAGTTTTTCTTTATCAACTTATGGCCACAGTTGTTTCGAAATACTTGAAAAAATAGAGATGCTACTGTGGAAAACGATTCATTTATTTGACTCTATTAAGTTTTGAAGTATAATTTTATCATCATTCAGAACCTTTCTGAACTTAAGACCATGTAAAATGGCTCAGAAATCTAGGATACAGAACAAGTAGAAAAAAAATAAAAATGAAAAACTTATTTTGAGAAAAATGTTTAACATCGCTTGCAATTGAAAATTAATATTTTTGTTTAGTAAAATAGTAGAGAAAACATATCGACTGTGGTTTATGATATATTATCATGTATGACAGATCAAATGGAAACTTGTACTTAGTTGCATAGCGTGTCAAAAATCAGAATCTCGAAGAGAGAAAACGTATACGAAAATCGCTTTCCGCATCAATTCTAAACGCTTGAATAGGAAATAATGATAAAAAGAAAGTAATAATTAGGGACGCGAAAGAATGAAGCCGACGAACGAGAAGAGAATGCATACTAATGTCAGAGGCGTTTCTTGTGACCTAGTACTGTCAAAATAATAACATAATTCAATGAACACTGGTAGGAAAAAAAATACAGGGCATGAGTCCATTTGTTCGAAGGCGGGTAGTGTTTGCTATTCAAGACATTTTTGTTAGATTCTCTACCACAGAAGACCTTAGAAAAAGCTTAAAAGAAAAGAAGAACAAACATTTTTCAAAAGCCTTGTTTTTTCTAATCTCAGCGTTATTAGTAAAACTTATATAAAATCATAAAAATGCATCGGAACTCCGATAATTAATACTGTTTTCGAAAATAGACAAGCATAATTATCGAACCACATAAAAAACTCAAAATCCATTTTTAACAGGGTAGAAACTTCAGGCCAATTTTAATTGGCTGAATAAAATTAAAAGAAATTATTTGTAATAAAATACATATTTCATCTAAAATTCTTTTTGCATTTACATAAATAGGTTTTATTTGAAAATTGAGATTACTTTAATGGAATTATTATAATAATCATGACATTTTATTTACCACTTTTTTATTGATATAAATTAGGAATAGTAATAATTACATTTAAACAGTTGATGCATCCATTTTTTCTGATAAACGTCTATTAACATATCTGCGAGACAGTATTGCAGACGATAATTCTCCTAGTAATCTTTATCAATGTTTAACATTGCCTTCGTATTCTTCTTCAAGCTCAATATCTAATAAATCCCATATTGTTGTTTGCTGCCTCGTTATTTACAAATTTGTTTTACATATACTGAATATTTTCTTGAACAATTTTTAAAAATATACTCAATTTTGACTGATTGGCAGTTCATTTTAAACAATCGATGGATTTTGAAACTAATTCTAAGTCAAATAGTGTAATATTCATAAAATCAAATGGAAGTTGCTTTGAAAAAATACGATGAATCTATTATGATTAACTTTTCATCTTTGTTGAAATCGTTTTTAATAAAATAGGAGTGTAGTTGAGTATGGAAATAGAGAATAGTCGCACCCACACTTTCAAGTTAGTCGATTCAAAGTTTAGAAGAATTATCAAGTCAAGTGTCAATAAAAAACAAAAACGAGCGGTAAAGTATGAAAGTACCCATATATGCTGGTTACATACTAGCAAACACAACATCTTTTCCGATATATTGAGCTTTAGACATTCATTAGAGTTTTTTTCTATTAAAAAATAAATTAACAATAGAGTATACTCCAACTGTGAATAAATGTATGCCACTTGCACATGAATAAAAGTTTTAAGAAGATTTCTTGCAGAGTTATAGAATAACAGAATTAATTGGGACATTATTATTTTTATTAAAATAAAACTAACAAGAAACCTACTGCAACAAGAAGTATGTATTGAATATAATATATAATGAAAGAATTTTCAAAAGAGAAATTATTATTTTTCTTGGTCGGTCAACACTGAGCGTTCACAAAATGGAAACGTTCGAAGACAATAAGTTTGTTCTTCATCGAACAAAATTTTTTATTTTCATCATATTACAAATTCCAGCCATTGTAATTACTCTAGTGATTTTTGCATTTTTCATTACACATCGTGCAATGTTAAATATTCTTCAAAATCAAGCTTTATTTATCTTACTTATAGTTAATTTTATTGAATTAGTAGCAGATCTACCAATGCCAATAAGTTTCTATTATCTTGGATATATTAGTCCAGCAACAAATAGTTATTGTATTTGGTGGACATTCTTCGAATATAATCTTCATTTAATAAGTGAACTTCTTATGGCTACTATTTCAATTCAACGACATATACTTATATTTCAAGCAAATGTATTTTACAGTCGTTTCAATCGTTTTATGCTGTATTATGGTCCTCTAGCACTTTGCTTTATTTATCCAATTATTTTCTACATTATTATTATAATATTCTATACATGTGATGGTACTCAATGGGATTATACATCAAATATGTGTGGTTATGCTAATTGTTATCTTGTCTATAATAAAGTATTAGGTACATTTGACTGGGCAGCAAACAATGGTTTACCAGTTATTATTATTATATTGGCTAATATGGCACTAGTCATACGTGTTATTAAACATAAACGTCGTCAACAACAGGCTATCTCTTGGAAAAAACAACGACGTATGACAGTGCAATTACTTGCTATCTCAAGTCTCTATTTATTTGCATGGTTACCGAGTCTTGTCATAGGAATGACTCAACAATTGAATTCTCCAAGTTTTTTGGCTAATATTCAAACAGATTATACTCTTGATTTCATGTATCTTATTGCTCTTCTGTCACCTTGGATTTATCTGAAACTTTTGCCAGAATTAATGAAATGGGTTAAAAACTTTTTGCATCGTGCCCAAATAGCTCGCAATACTATTAGACCTATATAACTTTTCCCATTCTTCTTTCAACATAATCATCCCCTATTACTTCTTTTTTCCTTTTAATTAGAATAAAATATACTCATCAGACATTATCTTGAAAAAGCTCAATTTAGTCACAAATTATTAACGACTAGAATAAAAATCTGTTTGAAGTGTTTATTTCATTATAATAATAAAGACTCAAGTTTCTTCAACAAATGTTTATTGATGATATATGTCATCAAAAAAAACAATCTTAAGAGACCTAAGTATTTACTATCTCTATTTTTACTAATAACATCTTGGACATTCTCTAATAGATGGTGTCCTGAAAGCCCGACATGAAAATAAATTTGAATAATTTCACTATTTATCGAACATAATCGTCTGATTTTTTTCAAATGATAGGCACTCCTGTGACATTTTTTTTTTTGATACAGACAAACTTCACAAATACTGTTCACAATTATTACTTTTCAGTGAAGTACAAAAAGGAGTGATTTTTGGAAATCAAAAACAAAACTTTTTTTTGTACTTCAGTGTAAAGTAATAACTGTGAACAGTATTTGTAAAGTTTGTTCATATCAAAAAAATTAGATGATAATGTTCGATAAATAGTGAATTTATTCAAATCTATTTTCACATCGAACTTTTGGGACACTCTGTAGATACTTTCATATATTCTCTACAATATACTTAGTCAGGATGATTTCGATTGTACGAAATCGGATTATGATTATCTCAGACAAAATCATTCTCATATAATTTATATCAAAATGGTGATGTTTTAACTGGAACTGATCATGTATAAACAATAATGAATCTACTTTGTACAAGCATGGAAAAAAATAAAAGCATATTGTCTGCTAACAGCATTGAATAATATCAATGTACAAGACAATCAACGACCATTTGCTCATGGTGCTTTTTGCAATATATTCAAAGTACAGGATTATGCTATCATTCATGAAATATTTCTATCGCGATCATTAAGTCATATACTCAATATTCTAATAATATATGAAGATATTTGAGCACCAAATTATGGTCTTTCTATTGTTACAGAATTCGTTAATGGTCCGAGTCTTGCTACAGCATTGATTGATGACACAATTATGAATTTGACATTCAAAGAACGTTTAAGTATTGCACTTGGAATTTCTAAAGGACTTGGAGAATTGCGTCTAGCTGAAATCGTTCATAGAGATTTTAAGCCAGCAAGTGTTCTTCTTCAATCAGATCCGAGTGGACATGGTTATATACCAAAAATAGCTGATTTTGATGTGAATTTTCTTATTCAAACAGCGTCGGCTACAGCTGTTCAAAAGTTAGGTGGCACTGTTGGATATGATACACCAGAAGTGGCCGATGGAAATACCCCATCATTTCAAACTGATATTTATGCTCTTTCATTTATACTCTACGACCTATTGACAGTTCAGCATCCATTTGGCGATCTAAGAGATATGCAAATAATAACGAAATTCACAATAAAAGAGGAACGTCCTAAAGATTGGAGCGTACTTGGTGTTCATCCGACAGTACCAATGGTGTCACATGTGTTGAAAAACATGATTGAAAAAGGTTGGTTATCGACTCCTAAATAACGTGCTACCATCGGTGAAATTATTGGTGCAGTAAGAAAAACAATTAATTCTAATTATAAGATCTGTGTGTAGATGCTATGGGCATATTTTCCTTGCATCACCGAAAATTCATCATATGAGTTCATCGAAGAATATGACGCCTTTGAATTGTTAACAATACAAGAAATCATAAAAAGATTAGTGATTGCAGATAATGAAGCTATTCAACTCTTATTAAAAAATGACGCCTTGAGTTAAGGTAAAATAGAGAACTCGTACGAGTCTTGAACGATGTCAAATTTCTTATCTTGAATAATCCTTGTCATAATAAATAACTGTGCAAAAAATAAGAATTCAACAGCTAACTATATTGTTCACAGTTTATTTTAGAAACGTTTTTGACTGCTTTTGCTCTTAGATTTTATTACTTGTTTATGTATTATGTTTTGATTGAGCCTTTTCATTTTTTGTCATCCATCGTATTCTTCTTTCTCTCACCCATAACTATGTACTTCTAATGACTTTATTATTTACTTCTTCTTTCCTCATGTTCAGACTATCACCGTCTCTAGTCTTGTAATTTTCTCTTTTCACTTTCCATGTACAACCAATAAATGCTTTAGAATATCACGTAGACATTTTAGGAATAGACTAAAATCGTTCCATCGATAGCACAGACAAAATTATTTGACTGAATGATGGTAGAATGGTTTCCAAAAAAGCATCACTTTCAATGAACCCAGAAGATAAAGTTACGGGTGAGTGTAAGTGTAGCTGTTGATGTTAACGTGAACTAGATGTGGGTGTGTCTCTTGCTCAGGTATGCTCATCAACTACACTCTCAGGTATCCCCCATACCGTACCTAGTCTCATTGATCTATGAAATTTGCAAGTAACAATAACGAAAAGGAAACCACAGTAGAAAACGGTACCTGAATTCATCAATATGAAAAAGAAAACTTAGAAAATAATATAATCCATAGCTACTTCATTTATTGCATGAATAATCAATGGATATAACTGCAAATAACACGTTAGTCAAATGTTTATGAACATTCGTTTAGAAAAATATATAATACACTAGACAGTTTGTTCAACACAGCTATATCAGTCTTTCCATCTCTGTTGAAATCGTAGGCTATCGCAGGACCTGGACTACTACTTGTTCCATATCGTTTTCGACTTGAAAGTGTCATATTTCCATCACCAAACAGCACTTGCATATTATGCGAAAGACGACCGACCACTGCTATATCCATCTTGTTGTCATTATTGAAATCGCCTGACATTACATGACTTGGTTCCCTGTCAACATCGTATTTCACTTGAGCTCGAAAAGCCCCATTTTCCCAGCCAAATAAAATACTTATCGTATGGTCACCTAGATTAGCCACTACGAGATCCATGATCTGATCATGATTTAAATCAACTGATATTACAAAATTGGGGCTAGCACCACATTTAAATGTCTTATGAGTCTGAAAAGAACCGTTTCCATTTCCTAATAGAACGCTAATATTATGAGCACCTAAGTTGGTGACTGCTAGATCTGGTATGTTATCATTGTTGAAATCATCAACGACTACAGAACTCGGTCGACTAGAAGTGGCGAACTGACTTCCATTTTGAAAAGTCCCATCTCCATTACCCAGTAACACACTGATGCCGTCCGTGTGATAATTAACAATAGCCAGATCCAACATCATGTCATTATTCAAATCATGGACTACTACGAAGTGTGGTAAGGAATAAATCTGCTGTACTATTTCAGATTGGAAGATACCATATCCATTACCAAGCAGTATGGTAATACTATGATCGACTGAGTCAGTCAATATCAAATCCAATTTGGTGTCATTATTCAAATCACCTGTAGCCATCCAATTCGCTTTCTTCTGAAGCTTGTATGGCATTCGACCACGACAACTTCCATCTCCATTGCCTCGTAGCAAAGCGACAGTATTAGACCCTTTATTGACCACCACCACATCGATTCTTTTATCGTTATCATAATCAGCTGAAGTTATTGCCACTGGGTTCACACCAGTGGCATATTTTATTTGATTTTGAAATGTTCCATTACCATCGTTAATCAACATACTGAATGTGTTTTCTCCAGAATTGGCTACTACCAGATCTATTCTACTATCGTTGTTAAAATCATCTGCTCTCAAAGCACTTGGAGAATTACCAACCTCAAATTTTACAGGTCTCCAAAAACTTCCATTACCATAGCCATATAACACACTAATAGAAGATTCATTCGAAAGAGTTAATGCTAAATCTATTTTGCTATCATTATTGAAATCAGCTGCTACTACAGCACTTGGATTCATGCCAACTTCATACGTAATTTGAGCCTGAAACGTTCCATCCCTATTACCGAGCAACACACTGATACTATTATCATCATAGTTTGCCACTACCAAATCTACTTTACCATCTTTGTTGAAATCCTCATATGTCATAGAGATTGGTGTTGCACCAACGGTGTAAGTCTGTAAATCACTAAAAGTTGCATTTCCATATCCAAGTGCCACACTGGTAGTATTATCACCTTGATTGATAACTGCCCAATCTAGTTTTTCATCCTGATTAAAATCACCTGATATAACATAAACAGGTTTTGAACCAACATCGTACTCTATTTGAATATCAGAAAATGTACCTTCTTCATCTCCTAACACTAAACTAACCGTGTCATCATCAGCATTTGCTACTAATATATCTATGAGTGTATCATTGTTGAAATCACCTCCTGTCACTGACATTGGATTGTCACCGACTAAATATTCGATCGACGTCTGAAATGTTTCGTCGTCATTATCAAGGAGAACGCTGATACTGTCGTCATCACCATTCACTACTATAATATCCATCAGTCCATCATGGTTTAGATCAGCATTAAACACAGAATTTGGTGCGACATCTGTACTATAGTGAAATTCAGTTTCATAGACATTTTTTCCATTACCAAGAACTATATCGACAGTTCGATCATCATAGTTGAGCACTGCCAAATCGATTTGGTTGACGTTTGTGAAATCTCCATACACTATAGCAATTGGTAATTTTCCAGTGTTAGAGGTCTTTGGTGATGGATATGGATCACTGCATTGGTATACTAAAACAAAAAAATTGAAAGTTATTCATAATTCCCAGTATCGTCTTCGCGTAACGTTCAATTTGACATGAGACAAGTCAGCCATTGAAAAACTATAACAACATGAAAGTAGCAATCAAAATTGATGAGATTTCATCTAGCTCGGGTCTTATTTCATGAAATTATATTTTATTTCACTAAACCCTAATATCCCATGAGGTAAATTCAAAGTGATATCTGTTCTAAATTCTCGCATGAAAAATGCCATACGTTAGGTTCAGCGTAAAAAAAACAATTCTTTAGGATTTTTCTATAAAATGCTTCGAAATTCTTCCACAAACTAGAATAAATATGTGACAATTTCACTCTTTTTATAGGAAAACTGCAAATGAAAATTTGAGAAATATCGTCTAAAACAACTCTCATATGGTCTTTGAGTGTGATCGCGTCAGAGACTAGGTAAACGAGGATATAGAACAGTGGATAGAGGATAGGTACTGCTTTGATTGTGGATTGCGAAACTATGAGTGTGTGAGCATTGGGTAGATTGGACGTTGGCCTACGTAAGTGGCTAGCTGTCCGTTTGTGACTCGACTAGGATTTTTGCCTTATCGACAATCATGAAGACTTCTAGTCGTGCTCCGAAAGACACATGTGTCCATCTACACTTTTCCTAACATTCTTGCAGAGCCACATCACAGTCATCTGCAGCTATTCGTATTTGGCCGTATACACCATCGGTGTCGACATTTATTAACATTCACTCATGTAACTAGGCTTTACATGAGTGTGTGAAGCAGCGGTCCACTCCAACACCAATACATACACTAACAATCGAAACAGCACCACAGATCCAGTCAGAAATACCACAGGAATATCGCTGAAGTACAGAAGCATCGAATGAAATTCCAGGGTACTATTCTCTGATTGAAGTAACTAGTATATTTGTGAATGCAAATGGATTCGACTTATATATATCTTTCGTCAAGACTGTTTCGAGATACACTTAATGGAACTGATACAAGATAAAGTAAGAAGTATCGCTCTAAATGAAAATGAAAATAGCATTCAAGAAAAAGCATACTTAGGCTGTTGGCTTGTTTTCGTGATCCAAGAACAGAACCGATAATGATTGCTCCGATAGATAGAATTATCAATAAAGATAGAGGCACCAAAAATCGCTTCTTTTTATACCATGGACGTCTGCAAAATACAATCAACAAGTCTTCATAGCAAAAAACATCTTTAGGTAAATATAAAATGCAACTTACATCGGTTCCGGATATAGATGTGCACCTAAAAAGAGAAAGTCTCATCTTTTAGAATACACAACTCAAATCTTGGTCATTACCTTCGAAAGGAGGTTCAAGTAAGGTTTGTACTGGTATAACTTGTTTCAAGTGAATAATATAAAGATCAGGTGCTGGACTCAATTGTGATTGCACTATCATATGAGTACCAGGTAGAAGAAGAATTTCTTCTTCTGTAACAAAATGTGAATGAGCACTAACTGTTCGTCCATTGATGGCTTCAACAGAAAATAGTGTTCTCGCTCCTGTATTACCCAAATACATGTTATTCTCCAATACAGTCAATGATGTTGTACATGAAGAAAATGACCACCATGTTACTAGAGTACCAGGTGGAAATTCAGCGCTCAAATTTTTTGTAACTCCTCGCCAAACAGTCAATGGTGGAACACATGGAATTTTGACTAGTGCAGTCAAAAATAGTTTTAGATACTTGAAATAAGGTCGAAGTTCTTCACGATTAGCATTTTTTAGAGTGTAATTGAGCATTGAATATAGACTTCGATGTGGTCTTTCCCATTCGATTGTATACAGACGAATAGCAGCACTTTCATCAACTGTCAATCCATCAGGTGGACTTTCAGGAGTTTCATCTAGCGCCAATTGCACATAGACTGATAAATCATGAAGAATATCAATTAGTGGAACACATGCTTCAGAGAGAGGTAACAAAGGCTCCTGAGCATACTCAACAATTGGAGCAAAATCTGTGTCAATCTCGTTCATTTCGTTAGAGCTTTGTTGATTTTCAGCTACGATAAGATCTGCTGGAACTTGTTGCCTTTCATTTGTTTCTTGATCAGTGACATCACGATCATCCTCCACTACATTTATTCTTTGTCTTTGATCATCATCAGATTGTTCTTCATTCGATGGGTATGACAATACACTTGCAATCTTGCCGTCCTCGTGTATGACTTTTCTTTCGCACTGCATCTCACCATCCTTGTGGAACGTGATTACATGGTCATTTTGCATGTTGGTTTCTTCTTGGTTTATCAGTCCTTGAAGATGTGTGTCTGTAGCATCCAACAAGATTACTGTTTGCTGACTCGAGCCGTCGACATCTGCTTTCAGAGCTTTTTTTTCTTTTTTCGATTTATGTTTCTTCTTACTTGTAGATGAATAATCATCCTTAAAAGTCGAAATTAAATTATTTTCATTTCTAATAACAATAAATAATGAATGAGGAAAAAGCTTTGCATTTATTTTTGTCTTCTGTATTTCATTCTAAAATCTTGTAAAATATCGATTGTTGTTTTTCCCAAAGATACCTCGTCATGTTATCTATAAACTTCATCTGCTTAGTACTTCAACTGGATGCAACAAAATAATTACTTAAATTTCTCAAACATTTCTATTGACTGAAAAGTTCTTAGGTAAAATTCTAAGATAAACGTTTCACTTCTCTTTCTCTCTTTCGCAGAAATAATAATCAATAAATGAATCAATGCAGCTGATTTAAAGACATGTTGATTTGTTTGTTTGGTTATCTTCAGTGAACTTACAATCAAATAGTAAGAAAACAACTCATGTGTAGATCTCTTGTAATTTCATTCGCAGATGACTTCTGTAGCACTGAAAGCAGAAGCAACACAAACATTATTCCCGATTATTTATGACTAACGTTTGAGATAAAGAATGATAAATGACATTTGCATTCATTCCAATTTTCCGTTCTACTGAAGTTCTTCCGAACTAATTGACAAGAAATGTATAAAGTGTCACAAATTGAAAACTAAAGCAGTTTCTTTGTCTTTGTTTGTATACGGTTAGATAGTGTAACAAAGTGATTAAGAATATTAGATGTTTTCATTTTTCTCAATGAATTTGTAAGGAAAATTGCAATTTTGTCCTATGATCTACTTTTTCTGATGAAGAGGTCGATCTTATTGATTGTTTAAAATTTTAAAACTGTTCATCTCCGGTTCAGCATGAAAAAATGAATCCACAGAAATCATTTATAAATGACTTTGTTTGATTAAATGAATTTTTTCTTAGTGAATCTGAAAGAAATGCTTGTGAGATTTGAAACAAGCAGAATAATTGACACATTTGTCAGAAAAACTAGATCATCGGAAGAAACTGAAATTTTTCTTTTAAAAGCTCTTTCTTTCTAAAAAATCGAAAACGCCTATGTTCTTGATCAGCTTGTCACGCTTTATCTAACCATAAATAAAAAAGAATAAAAAAATTCTGCTTTAATTTTGCATTTTCGACACCTTTCATTAGTTGTGTTCTCATTGTTTGATTGTTATTCTATTGAAGATGATCGATAACAACAGGTCAAAACATCTTCTAATTAGTCGCATTGTTTCAGTTATTTATTTTTAAAACTTTGTTCATAATAGCACTAAACAAGAATGCAGCCAAATAAATGGATAGATAACCCATTCAAAACTACATTAATCTATCGATAGCAGTTTTTTGGAAACTTTAGTTTTAATTTTGTGTTAATAATAAACTATTTTGAAACGGCAATATAAGCCATAATTAGGTATGTCTCGGATAAAATTTTTCCCATATCGACAACTGTTTACAGATGGACTGCGACATGTTTCATCTTGAAAATTTTTACAAAGCTTTAGAGAAAATTATGCAAAAGTTATATTGCACATCGTTACATAAGAAAAGAGTGAGCACCATTCCTCAATTGATATGCATATATATATTTACTTCATGTTCCCTTTTCTTCTTTATTATTTTGTTTCTATTTATTCTATCCCGTTGGTACACAAGTTCTGCACTTTTTTGTGTTTTAGGCAAATTTGAGGCTTTATATCTCGTGATTGGAAAGTGATAGAGGTCGGAAATTTTGAATATAGATAGAAGTGACATAGATCTATCTATACTAAAAATTTCCGATCTCTATCACTTTGCAAGCATGAGATATAAAGCCTAAGATTTGTCTAAAACACAACAAAATACGTGCAGAACTTATTTACCAGTGGGATATTTTAATTATGTCTCCGGTCGACATATCGATTCGTCTTTTTACTCCTTAAAACGAAGCACATTTTTTGAATTTACATATTTCGACAAAGAAGACGATCATTTTGGATTGTCCTTTTTCTTCCTGTTCTATAAATTCTTTATTCTTACTTAATAAACTATTCATTCATTTTGCTTCGTTTGGATCAAAACGTACATCTTATCTCACTTATATGAAAACGATAGGATCTAGACCAATGTGTTATTAAGCATGAAAGGCATATTTTCAAACATTATAGATAGGAAGATGCTCAATCTGTGCTTACTAAAGAGTAATCTTTATCAATCAATAATCAAAGCATGCTTTATTTCTATATTCCATTGTTTGTTTTTATTTATATTTGCAGATTCTGTTTAGTATTGTTCGTATGTTGTTATCAATAGTTTACATAATATGAAAAGAAATTATACTTACGATTTGAATCATGCTGCAGGTTATGGCTGTTGGTTTCTTATTAAACGTAATAGGTTTTGATACGATTATGGTTTTAGTAAAGTAATCGGATTTTTTCTTATTTTTGCTTTCTTATGATTATCAATCATGCGTGACAGCTTCACAAGGTAGCCTGCATTTTGTGCAAAGATATAAGTGTAACTGTAAGTGTACTGTTCTATCTTGCTGTCTTTTTCGTTCTTTCTTCATATTTTTTTCTTCCTTTCGTTTGTTTTTATTTTCATCATGGAGAAAAAGTCTATTCATATTACTAAACTCAAGCGCATGGTAATCGATTCTCAAAAGAAAATGGTTGAATATGGTTATTTTCTATTTTTGTTTGTCCGAACTTGAGAAGCTAAAAAGAATCGGTACTATGCTTTGAGCCTATTAATGCTATATAGTTACTTGTCTTGATAAATGTAAGATTCACTCTATGAATTAGTGCATGATAATGACGATTTATCCTACTTAATTAATATTAACGATTTCAACGCAAATTTACTATTATGTTGCTTCAAGTGGATTGTAAAAACACCAAAAGCGTCAGCATCTTAACCCATTCTCTTGTTGAGATAGTCAATCTATGATAGAGGCACCTTAAGATAAAAATTGAGGATAATCAGAGAATTGGCATAGGATTTCACTTAAGTTTGAAATGCATGCTGATAACATTAGCCACTGTAAATAACATAGTTCTAATGCAAAACATTCTCAACTGGGTGAATTCGTTCATTGAATGTAGAGCTTTGGGGATCTGGACGAACCAAAAGTATAAATTACCACTTTGATATGTGGTACATCCCCGTCCTTTGATACATAGTATTTTGAACAAGATGATAGGGAAATAATTGATAATGCACGTTTCTAGTAACATAGAGGGTGCAAACAATAACGGACCATTAGTATTAAATAAATACATATATATACTATAACTTGCAAAGAAAACACATTGTTCTGATATCTGACGGAAAATACAGGGTGCGTAAAAATGTTTTTCCAGGGAGATAAAGCTGTAATTTTAAACATCATTAATAACAAATTTTATATCAAATGAAAGCGCATCAACAATGAGATTTATCAGTATTAAATAGTAAGGGTTCTTCCAATTTTTTAATATCCAATATAACAAAGTGGTAGAAACAGAGTGCATAAAAATAGTTTTCGGCGGTGATAACGCTATGATGTCAAATAAAATTTATAACGAATTTCATAGCAAATGAAAGCGCGTCGAAAATGAAATATATCGATACTAAATAGTAATGGTTCTGGCAACTTTTTAGTATCGAGTTCAGGAAATTTCTAAAATTTTATGCCATATCGGCAGAGAAAATTTTCTTTCATGAGGCAATTCAAACCAGATTCGATTTAGAATTTTGAATATCACAGAGTACTCGACATGCTGAAAATATTGGAATAGTAATCAAAAACAAAGCGGAAAAAAAATGCTATGAAAGACGGAACACAATCGTCATAATGAAGAAACTCTGAAAGAACATATTTCAAATATTTTAAGAAACATGAAAATGAACATTGACATATTTGAAACTATTGTATGTTTTTATCCGTCTTATCTCCACGTTGTAACGAAAGCTAATAATTGTCATACTGATCATTGATTTTATTCATCGAACTTTAAAAAAAAATAAATATTGCTCTGTGAAATTCATAATTTTAAATGAGATCCAGTTTAAACTGCATGATGAAAGAAATTTTTCTCTGCCAATATGGCATAAAATTCTAAGAATTTCCTGAACTCGATACTGAAAAGTCACCATAACCATCACTATTTAGTATCGATATATCCCATTTTCGACGCGTTTTCATTTGGGATAACATTTGTTATTGATGATGTTTAAAATTACAGCTTTAGCTCACTGGAAAAACATTTTTATGCGCCCTGTACAAATCGATGAACCTTACTTGTGCATTATGAGTATTAGTTTATCAATAAGAAGAAAAAACAATCAACTAGTCAATATCTATTCTCAGTGTTTACTTTTCTTTCATAAAACTCATCTTATGTCCAAATGACAACAATAGTTTATTTTAAAATTTAGATCTCCTTCAAGACATGCTATATATACACATAATTTTATCTGTTCTAACACTTGATAATTACTATTTCTAGAAAGAGCGTCACATAATTCTTAATATCTTTCTTCTTATCACATCAAATTTACCTCAATCAAAAATGTTTTGGCTAAAAACTCACACTCCCTATTTATTTCAACACATACTTTCATAGAATTAATCTGTATTCAACAAAAACGCATGCAATCAACGAATCCCATGCCACCTC